GGCCAAATTGATGGACATTTGAGGTGAATTTGGGGAAATTAGACCTTTAAAGGCAATTTGGGGGTTTTGATCAAAATGGTCAAATTGGGTCCAATTGAATGATCCAAATTGGTTTTGGAGACATCTGAAATGATTTTGGATGTTTTGGAAAAGTTTGGGTCACCAAGGGTATTTTTATAATTTTGGCAAATTTAAGGGTATTTTGGTATATTTTGGCAATTTTGGGTGGTTTTTTGGGTATTTTGAAATGGTTTGAAATGATTTTTGAACAAATTTGGATATTTTGGTGAAATTGGGAATTTTGGCCAAATTTAGGGTTTGGGAGTGTTAAGGTAATTTGGGTGGATTTAGGGGCAAAATGGCAAGTTGGGTATTTTGGTAGAATTGGGATGCTAACCACCATATATGAGTTGTGGACCAATGAAATCCTCATTTGGGTCTTCTATGTACTGGTCTTAGATAAACCCTAGACTAGGGCTAGTGGGTCTAGGGGACCATCTACATGAGTCTCCCAAAAGATCAAGGGATCAAAGAACAATTTTGGGTTTAGGATTGCAAGTGAATATAAGTGATAGTGAGTGTAAATGAGTGAACTAGCTCTAGACCAGCACCCAAGGTCAGCCTTAAGGCCAGCTCTAAGGTCAAGCAGCCCTATGGGGACTCTCCTTTAGATCCCCCATACTGACCCCACCTATTAAGTATTAGAGGTTAGAACCAATATGTGGAACTTCAAGTTGAGGAATGAAGAGTTTAGTGTTTATAGTGGTAAGGGTTCCTTTTCTAGTTTTCTAGGAATAGTCAACAAGAAAGTCCTATTGCTAGACCTTAGGCTACTGAAGAAAAAAAAACTAAACCTCAAACAAAAGTGCGGTGTAGGAAGGGCTTTCATTTATTCTTGCATTGCAGATTTGGATACAGATTTTGTGTAGGTTTCATTTTTTGGGGAGTCAGACCTTTTCTCTTCGGAAGCTTTCTGCTCTAGAACCGCGACTTTTGGTGAAGATCAATTGTTTGGAGCGGCTTTCTTTTTGGTGCATTCATCAATTTTAGGTTTTTTTCCTCGGTTTCTTGCTTAGTTCGGGGATCCTCTCCCAAACCTTCTTTAAGTACTCAACTTTTGTTATTAACGCGTAGGGAGCCAAATAAAGCTCCTTCCCTTATGCATATATATATATATATATACATAGATATATATCTATATATACATATATATATATATGTATATATATATTATATCTGTGTGTGGGTGTGTGTGTGTGTGTAGATTTGTAGGTTTATATATATGTATATGTATATATAGATATGTAGATGTTTGTATCTCTATGCATAGATATGTAGATGTATATATCTTCATATGTATATGTATATACATGTATATATTCATGTATAACCATGCATATGGTTATACATGTTATTAAAGAAGGTTTGGGAGAGGATCCTCAAACTAAGCAAGAAACCAAGGCAAAAAAACCTAAATATACATGCATATTCATATACATTTAAAGATATATACATCTACATATCTATACATAGAGATATAAACATCTACATATCTATATATACATATACAAATCTATACATATACATATACATATATATAAATCTACAAATCTACACACACACACACAAATATATATATATATATATATCTTCATATATATAGATATACATTTGTATATACATGCCTATATATACATATACATCTACATATAGATATGTACATCTATATGTAGATATGTACATCTATATGTACATATAGATATGTACACACACATCTACACACACACACACACACACACACACACACACACACATATATATATATATATATATATGTATGTATATTGATGTATGTATGTATGTATGTATGTATAGATCTATACATAAATACATACATACATACATCATACATATATATACATACATCATACACACACACACACACACACACACACATATAT